CTGCACCATTTTTTGCAAGATCTTTTTATATCATGGAGTGCTAACTGTTCTAAATATGTTCTATGTCTTACAACTGCATATTAAATTTATGCTGCAATATGCACTTGTACAATAAACTTTACATCTCTATTTTGGTTAGAACGTATATTTACTTGGAAACACATTCTACATTTGTTGGCAATATTTGCTTTACGGTACACGATTTCATTGTTTGCAATTTACTGTTTCCTGTGAAGTATCATCTCTAATTCAGAAAGCTGGTCTAATGACTAAGAAAATGTGTTCATTCATCCGATCTACTGATTCTACTCTGTTGCTCAGTTTGCCAGACCTCAGAACCTCCTCTACATAATCAGGAAAAGAATACCTCCCATCTACCTGTGTTCCATATTGCTTACTTGGCTGCAGGGATAGTCTCCTAACATACACAGTACTTTGCACACTGAGACTACAAATCCTGTTAGGTCTTCTTTGTACTACAAATGAATGATAATGAGCCTATTATTGTCTCAGAAGAGTAGGTCTATATAAACCACTTATGCAAACAAGCAATCCTGATATACAAAAGTGCTACACCCTTAGAAATTCTGTTTCGCCTGGTCCATAAAAATGATATTTTAGCTCCTAATCGCTGTTGCTTAGAACTACTTTTCAATTTAATGAGCAAACTATTCTCCTGCCCCTTCACTCCCCTCTCTTTAAGCATTAATCTCTGGGGTAAAGCATTGTCAAATGACTCCTGAAAATCTAAAAATGTAATGTCCACTCTATGCCCTATCTTGGCTGTGTTATCTTCAAAGAGCTTCAGAAGACTAGTGAAGCATGCCTTCTTTTTTCCTAAACCATGTGTGTACAACTAATCAAACTGAAGGATGCTTTTACTAGATACTCCTTCTCCTAATCTGTTAAAATTCTTTCAAACATCTTCCCTACAGATGAATTTAACCTAACTAGTCTGTAACTCCATGTGCTAAAACATTTATTACATGAAGTTCAAAGTTAAAGAAAATAATGATACAGAAGAGCATATAATTTGTGAGGGCTTGACATACACAGCTAGCATAGCTGTAATAGAGCCAGAAAAGTCTTTGTTTGCCTGAATCACTGTGTCATAGTGACTCAAACTTTCTTCTTTCTAAACACTGGAATTGCGCTGACCACTGATTGGCTTTGAGGGGTCCTCTCACTGCCTGCAATTTCTCTGCATGGATGTAGAGGAGCACACAAGTCTCATTCATAATTTGTATAGCCCGAAGAAAGCAAAATTCCAAACTGCTCTTCTCTTGCTAATTTAGTTACAGACATTGTCTCTGGAAAGGAAAAGAGCCATAGACCTGGCATAGATCCAGCAGCAGTCATGCGAAATGCTTCTTGCCACATTCTCTGGATAGACAGAGCTTGACATTACCCCCCAAAGATAATATCCTTGAAAAGAATATGCATATATTTATACACCTCAATGAAAGGAAGCATTCATTAATACTTTGTCACACCACCCTTTTTCCATCTTCTATAAAGACAGTTGTACAAAGTAATAATGCTATTGCCAGCCACAGAATAACAAGCCAACAATTTGTTATTTCTTGAAGTTCCCAGTTTCACCATTGCCAGCCATATTTACGGTCCCATAGACTGCAGAACCTCTCTGCTGGCTTACAACAAAAGACTCTGTAGCTGGGATGGCATTATTAACCCATTGTTTAGCTGAATGACAACTTCATCCATTCATCTACAGTGAAGGTATGAAAGGAAACAAGATGAACCAGAAGTTAAACAGCACGGTATCACTTACAGCTACGTGCTTAGACTGTTTATTTCTTTACAGTTGGTCACACATCCATCTTATCTGCCAAAATGCCAGAAATACAAAATTGTATGAGGTCACTTTGGCATTAGTTAAATTTTCTACTCAGGGGAGACCTCATCGCAGCTTTTCAGTATTTAAAAGGACCTTATGAAAAAGATAGAGACGGACTTTTTCCATGGTCTAATAGTGATAGGAGTAGGAGGAATGGTTTTAAACTAAAAAGGAGAGATTTAGATTAGAAGTTAGCAGGAAATTCTTTACTCAGAGGGTAGTGAGGCCCTGGTACAGGCTGCCCAGAGAAGTTGTGGATGCTCCATCCCTGCAGGCGTTCCAAGCCAGGTTGGATGGGGCCCTTGGCAGCCTGAGCTGGTGAGGGGAAACCATGTAACCACGTCCATTGCACAAGGATTGGAACTAAATGATCTTTATGGTCTCTTCTAACCCAAGACATTTTATGATTTTGTGATTCTATGATTTTAAGACACTTGTTCATTCTATTGAATTTATTTGCTGATTTATATATATGTATAAAATCTTAAATATTCCCCTACCAAAGTTTAATGCAAGAATCTTTATGATTACAGTGGCTTAACAGAAATGTGCAGCTGGCATAAATCACGATTTTTTTTTTCCTGGTGTTTAGAACAGTGATTACTCTTAGATGCATTTTACAATGATTTAACTTACCAGGTTTGTTTATCAAATGCTATCAAGAGCGTTTATTATGTAGTTAAAATACAGTAATTATTACTGTGTGACAAGGCTGACTCATTACAGTTACTACTGTACCCTGATAAGAACAAATATTTTCTTTTAATGTAGTTCTAAACAAAGTTTGGGTAAATGTTGCCTCTGTAGTCTATAATAGCACCTGAGTGGGTAAAGTTGTCAGAGCTTCAGGACAGAAAATAACTAGAGGGTGAAAGGAGACAAAGGATAATTTGATGTCTCCTTGCATGCTAGGGTCTACAATGACAATGTGTTAATGAACAAACAACAAAAAGTGAGAATAAAACGTAGTGATTTCTTGTTTTAAGAAGTTGGATTATATGCACTAATGAAGACTTAAGTTTTCTAAGTCCATGTATTTTCATTTCAAAGATGTGTTTCTACATTATTGAAAAAAGTGTTCCAAATGATACTTGATAGGGCCTCACAGATGTGTGGTTCCTCACATTTCTTCCTCTGCCAAATAAAAAAATTAACCATGAGTATTAGATACCTATTTGAAAGCCTATTGATGTAGGAATCTGTCATGTCATTCAGCTCTAAATGTTGCCCACAGAGACTTTCATAGACAGAATGGATGAGTTGATGCCTCTTCTCATTACAAAAATTTGAAATGAAATCATCCATATCAGTATAATTCTTACTGAAGAAGCAATCTCACATGATACGTGGCATAAAAGGATAACTCACGATATTGTTGCTCATTCTGATTGTTCTTCTCCTGTACATTCTCACTATTCATGATGGTCAGAAGTAAATGGCGTAGGACAAGAACAATAGCTAGGAACTAATATTTCAGGAACACAACTTACTTACAATTTTTCTTAGGAAAAAAATCTCTCCGTCAGCTTTGTTCTCCCTGCTCAGTAGCCGTCTGAACTCCTTAGAGCAAGAAATATTTGCCTTCTTTTCCAGCTGCCCTAGCTAGGGTGCTGAAGATATGTCAGTGTCCCATTCCTTGGGCATTCCCACTCTGAGTGATCAACAGTGAGCAATAGGAACACAAAAGACAAGACAACTTTCCTGAAAGTGTTTAAAAATACAGTTTCCAAAAATTGTCAACTCTAAACCTTCTCCGCAACTTTCTGCTAGCTAGCCTGGCTTGTGAGAGCAGATCTACCTGCCTGGCCTTCACTCTGTCTCTTATTGCTCATGCATCCTTTGAAAAGTAGAAAGAACAGACTTGGGGTTTACAACTCTGACTACACTCCAAGCTCTCTGGTGAGGAGACTGTGCTTGCTAGCACACACCTCTCCACTTTAATAAATGCATGTTTTGAAGTAAACAGAAGTGCTCATTATATATTTGCATTCCCAAATGTTTATGTTTATATCAAAGTAGCAGAAACCAGTATTCAACAAATAAAAAAAATGGGCAAAAACTGCAAGTAAGCATCTCAAAGATCTGGTTTTGATTTACTTTTCATGGAATATTTGTAGCTGGTCTCTCTATTCTGGTGGCTAGCTCTTTATTCCATGGTTTAACACAGCACTGTACCATGAAGGAAACACTAATTCACATTCCAGCCCTTTCACTAAATGGATCAAAAACTGTACACACTTATTCCAAGTATAAAACTGATCTCTTCCTAGAGCTCACTGGACTATCAATTTCATGATGATTATGAGATAAAACAGGAGAGCTGTACATTTCATTTGGACTAGAATGAGTTGTCCACAATATGTCCATTATTCACATGCATTTTGAAAGGACCAGTTTACTCAGAAAACACCAGGGCTTATTAAACTTTGCTATTTCAGTGACCGTGGGATAAACACTTATAAAAGATTAATTAAGAAATTCTTTTCTGTTGTGCAATTCCCACATTTCTATCACAATACTAAATATTAATAAAGAACAGTAGTAACTTCACTTGCAAGATTAAATCAATATGACTTTTTCCCCCCAAACTGCTTGTTTTCTGAATCTGAAACAACGCATGGAATTCAAGAATTTCAGTGTGGATATTATATATATTATTTTGATTTTAAAAAATTCTAAACTGATACTAAACCATACTACCTCCTCAATTTGCAGGCTGTAATACACTTTAAATCACATTTTTGCCTCATTAGTATGTTGAATATGCAAGTGTTTTCTCCTGTGATTAACTACGTATATTTGGTGTATCCAGTCTCCAGGTTCACTAAGACTCAATGATGTTGCAAAAGGCGTAAAGTGATTAACAGGTTCCGGTTTTACACAGTGTGCGTACAGTTATATACGTCTGATGCTACACGAGAGAATATATAGTTTTTAAGTACACATTATTTAACAAATAATAAAATTGTAAATGCATAACTATATCTAAGTAACCTGACCTAAAGCTTCTACTGTCGTTGCAAAGCCACCAGTTACATTCGCAAGGTGCTCTTCCCCTATGGAACCCACACATGCACTTGTACAGAACAGAATGAGGCTTAAGAGCCCTTTTCACACATACAGTGATCCACGTCATCCATACCTTGGACACAACGTCTCTACACAAGCAGAAGGTATCTTAGGAAGGTGAACAGGGAAGAACAAGGATTCTCCCTTCGGTTCTCACCATATGAAGAGCCCTCAGAGCCGCGGAAACCTCTGAAAGAAGAGGAGAAAACGGTTCATTCTCTTTTCGCTCGCCCAAGTTTTACACTGCTGTAAGCTCACATACTGAGGCAGGTTCTATGGGAACACGCCGACTGGCAGGACGGGCCATCTCTCCTCGACGGCTCCTCACCGCCTCCCCCCATCGGCGTTCTGGAAAACGCCTCGCTCCGCTCCGAGCCAGCGGAACCCGCGAGGCGTTCGGCGGGGCGTTTGGGCGGGAAGCGCCCCGCTGCCAGGTGCGTGGGGTGGAGCGGGCCGGCACAGCGGGGGGCGACGGCCGCGCAGGGCACAACCACCTGTCACCGGCACCTGGCCCGGGGAGCAGGCGTTAAATCACAACGGACTGAGCCGCACCCCTAGGGGAGCACGCGGGTGTCGCTGCTGCTGGCTCGCATCGCCTCTGGAGCGACCCCCGAGGTGGGTACCTCACGCCCCGTCGGACATGGAGAACGTAAGTACTGCGCTCGGGCTGAGGGGGCTTTGCGCTGTGGGAAGGGGCGGCGCCGTAGGGCGGGAATGCGTGGCGGCGCGTGGCAGCGCCTCACCCAGCCGAGGGCTGCGGGGCGCCGTGCTTCGCTCCTCCGCGCCTCGCCTCGTTGATCCTTGTAAGAGTGCTGGTGGCAGTAAGGAGATGGCTCTGTGGTGCTAGGAAGGTACTGATGGTTCACAGTGTTGGTTGAGGATGCCGGGTGGCCCTCTGCTTTGGTATTGCTGCTTCTATTATTTAAGGCTCAGAGCTCAGATTTAGCCTTCGTCACTGAGGTTGTGACGAGTGAAGTGAAAGCGCTGTGCCATGAGTTAATGCTTTCTTTATTTTTTCCCCCTTTTCATCCTAATGCATTTTCTCTGAATCCTGCTCGCAGCTCCTCTGGTAGCCAAATCAGCACGTGCTGCCTTCAAAAGGTGGAGCCTCTCAGGTGTGAAGCAGGCCGTCTTAATCACAGGATTTCAATAGCTTCAGTTGGTCACTGCTTTGCTTTCTTTACAACTGCTTTGAAGAGCAGTTCTGAATTATCAACTTGTGGTATTTTACTCTTTCAATTATGCTTCTATTTTTATTATTTTTTTTTAAAGGAATAATTCTAACTTTTTCTGCCTTTCTCCTTTATTTTAAGTCATTGTGATTAGAAAAAAAACTGCAGATATTAATTCTGGTTGGAGCAACAAATGCGTGCAGGTTTTAACGTTCATGTAACAGCGATCTGACAGCTGTATGTGCGAATGCCCAGGGATAGGAACCTATGACAGATAAATCACAAAGCAGTGCTGCTCAAAGTCAGGTGCCAAAGGTAGCTTTGGAAGTCTTCAATGAAGTTAATCCTTAGGTGGGAAAGCAGACCGCTTGTAAGTTTTGACCATTTATGACCTCTGATGACAAATGTGTCACTACCTTGCTAATGCAGAACTCTGTGCTTGAGGAAGCAGAAGAGAAAAAGCGAGGTTGCAAGCCAGACTTCTGGTTTAGGAATCATGTTTGGGCAGTCTTAATTCAGCCCTCTTCTGTGTTATGGTGCTCACTTCATTGTTTATCATTGTGTTAACTAGCAGATAGTGCACACACTATACAAACAATACTGCTGACTTGCTGGGGATCTTTGGTATGTCTTTTGTGCCTTTTAAAGGAATAATTAGATTATCATATTATAAGACATAAAATCGAACTGTGGCACATACATGTGGGCAAATATTTGGTGTTTCTTAACTGGGGGAGTTTCAGCTTTGCCGCCTGTTATCTTTGTTGTTTGTTTGTTTCCTCAGAACAGGTACTTCAGTGTTATTTTTCTGTTAAACTGAATGTATAAATAAAAGCTGGCAACTTGGTCCATAGAGCTGAGTTTGCTGGCCTGTAGAAGGAACTTCACGTATCAGCTCTTTAGCTCAGTAGGCTTACTGGCAAGAATGAACAGGCTGTTAAATAAGCTAATGCAAGAAAGACCAGGGTTCTGTTCTCTGGGTGGAGTTCAGAGCTGTTTGCTGACAGCAGTTTTCTGAGACACCTTTGTTGCTAAGCTCAATACCATTCTGTGGGGGCCCAGCTATTCCTATTCCTCCTGTATTCCCTAAGATCAGTCACTGAAGTGTGCTTTTTGTTCCGTGTTCTCCACAGCAGGAGCAGTTTTTTTTTAATTCCTCTATGCCGTTGTTTTGAACGTGACGCCTGGAATGGTATCATCTCTCTGTTGTGGTACTCGTTGTTATACTGGCCACTTTCTTCATCTACTAGAGGTAGTATTTTGATTAAAATTCATCTTCAGTCCCTTCTTCCCTTGCAGTCCAGAGAACGTGCAGTCTCAATCATTCATGAATTAACCCTTGCAGTAGCTCTATGGTAAAGAAGCATTCATTTTCCCATACCCGGGAGAGGGAGGAAGGTGTCCTGATTGATGCAGTGGCAAAGCAGTGGGAGTTCCATGTGAAGCCTCTGGTGTCTTATCATCAGTTTTCCTAAGGAGCTGAACTTGCTCCCCAGAGCTGTGCTTTCCCCACCTATTCCTCCTTCCTCAGTGGCCAGACCTTGTCTTCTGAATTTTTCATCACTTTCCTTCTTTAGTACTCCATTGTAGAAGCATCAGATGCATAGTTAATGAAAGGAGCTGCCCTCCACAAAGGAGAAGCAAGAGTTCCAGGCCTGTTCACCTGAACTTAGTCTTTGTAGCTTGAAGTGTTTTACAGGGGGAACGCTTACATCCTGAAAAACACACGTTGAACAGTAAGCAATGTGTTGCAAGATTATATCAATCATATCCATAAGGCATTGTTTTACTAGAAAGGAAGAAAATAAAATTATTTTAAAATTAAGAGAAAACTAATACACTTGAAGCTAAATCTCTGTCTCATAAACCTTTAAACCTTTCTTGATTGTACAAGATTGGCATGCTGTCTCATGTTATTTGAAAGGCTTTGTAAACTGCTCTGAAGTATCTAAATATTTCAGTTAACAAAGTTAATACCTCTGGATAGTATGATTTTATGGATATTTTTTCAGAAGTTTGAGTCTGGCATTTGAAAACCTGAAAGAATAGGGCCCTGGCAATTAGATCTGATTTGTTTTCTTTTGTACTCTTCAGCAAACTTTGACACCCACAGGTGACAACACATCTAGGACTGTATTTTAAGTATTTCAAATGCATGTAGTATTTTGTGATGGGAAAAGGTTTTCATTAGAAGTTGATGCTTCTATCTTTTGCTTTTGTTTTCCTGCTGTTGTTACAAGTAGGTGTTGTACTTTCTTTCCTTTGCAGAATACGCTGGGGAAAAAAAAATAAATCAATACTGCACCTTTATTGAATGCAGGTCAGTTTCTGCTGGAGAATGTCTGGGCCATTCCTATCTTAATTTTGTTTGTAGGTTACACTTTTAAGTGTTGTTTCCAAACACTTCTGAAGTGTTTCTAAAATACTTCTAGTGCTAGGCCCTCAGTAACATTTACATCTATTTCATCCTGAAAAGTCTCTTGTCATTCTGGGTATTGATTCACACAGTTGTACTTCTTTTCATCTTAGTAGATAGAGGATTTTGCTTCAGACACTTCTGTATCTTTTTCATTTCTTTAAGTGCAGACCTGCATATCACTACATTATTACAAATGTACAGACTACTTAGCAGATGATGTCTTGTTTATTTTATTTTTTGGGGTCTATCCCATATTGCTTCATACTTCCAAAGTCAGCTCTTGCAGCGTGACTGGAACCAAATGTTACTTCCTAGCTAAAAGTAATGTATGATACATGAAGTGTCAGGCAATTCGTCAGGAGTAAGGAGGAGATGGCCTTAAGGCAAACAGTTTGCTCTTTAGAATATAATGGTTACTTAACCCTTTAACTTGTATTGCACATGTATATAGAATAAACTTGGGAAAAATTTGTTCTGAGAATACTCGTGTGAACCACACAAGTAGATATTAATTCTGCATCCAGAAATGTCAGCAGATTAGAACAAGTGTGCAGCCTGTCAGCATCAGTATATACGAGCAGTTTAAACTGTGAAAAACTGAGTTACTTTCCTGTGCAGTCTTGTTACCTTAAGAGTTGTAATGTTATTAGTAACATGTTCCCTAAGTTAAAAAGACTTGTCATGTTTGGTTTTTATGATCAAAGTTCAACACTGAATATTACGTTGCTTTCCAACAATATGCACAGAAATAGTACTTTTGCTGTACTTTCTTCCACAAATGACATAGAACTGAAGTCTTTTGTTTCTAATTGTGTAAAGAAAAGCTGATACTCAACCTGAATCTTCTTGGAAAGCAAATGAATAGTTGTGCAAGGAAATGAAATGCTTGGATGGTGGTCAGTAATGCTAGCCTTGCAGTGTTTTCTACCAGCATCTGTTTCTTGTATGAAAAAGCCACACACAAACTGTGAGATGTGCACGCTTTGTACAGGACAGCCCTTGAAATGGCCTAGATAGCTGTTTGCAAAGCCACGCAACAGCTGGAGTGAGAGCTGGGGTCACTCTTACTCTTGGAGCTGTGACCTCCTGCTTGTTGTTTGTAGTCACAGGTCCTGTTATCCACAGTGCTACATCAAGAACCTCGAACACAGTTCCAGTTCATTTATATGTACATAAAATTGGTGCTGCCTTTCTATGTGAATGGGGTTTGCATTCATGCTAGTGGGTATTTAGCTACGACTTTCCTACTGTTCGGTCACTGGGTACTTCTAGGAACCAGTATGTGTATTTTGTTATATTTTTTCTTTGGAGCAGTATTTCAGGAGGCAAATTGTTTTTAACAGTGTTATTCTTTATGTGGCTTCTGTTTTCATTTGTAAGTAGCTGTTTTAGACCCTAAGTGAACGAAGTACTTAAGCACATGTTGCAACTTTACACCAAGGGACTGCTCACAAACTCAGAAGTTGCATGCAAATTTATGTCCCTGGGACCAGATCAAACCCAGGGAAGCAGTTGTAGAGTTTATGGTACGGCTCTTGGATTAGAAATCCTGTTGATTTAAGGCCCAAAGAGTCTGTTTGGCTGAAGGGCGATTAATGGGCATTTTGATTCCAAGGTTAAGCTGTGTGCTTGGTATGAAAAAGGGAACATAACCAACAGAAGTTGGAGAGCAGTTTTATTTTTTGATAAATGTATTGGATCGCAGTATGGAATGAAAGAAGGAATGTTGTGTAATGCTAACTCTTCACTTCTAATTCTCGAC